CGTATTTCATCGTAAACGGTGGCGTATTTTGACGTATACTGCAGTATACGTCATCGTAAACTGCAGTATCTGACATCGTAAATTCTAGTTTACGGTCGTTTACGACGATCGTAATCATCGACCTGGGGCATGAATGAAAATGAAAAAGACCGTATGTGTAATGGAGATAACTTGCAACAAACATTAAATCAACTAGCTACTGCAGATCATCATCAATCAATAAGGCAGCATCACTGAAACGTCACCACACAAACAGTAGTGAAATTATAACAACAAATGATGACGGTGAGATGGAAGGTGACATGGATGGATTTCAATCAAAGACTCATAATAGAAATAATAAGAGAATGAACAGAAATAATCATAATAACAACAATAATAAAGATGAACGATATTCAGCAACGAGAACATATACGAATTCGAATGTAAATGATAATAGAAATAAATAACAACGTAATGAAAATAACTTGAACAATACTTCTAATCAACATTTTCATGATCAAAATACAACGACAAATCAAAATAAAATTCGAATTTCGAAACATGCTATTGACTATGCTACTGAATATCATTATACACCATTTAAAATCGAATGTGAACCTAAACAACATGCTGCAAAATTTGTATGTAAATTTCTTAATTATGTTAAAGATGCTTTTACTAAACAAAATCCTGTTTACTCAAAATGTTTGCTATTTGATCTTTGGTGGATAGATGGAAAGGAAATCTTCGAATGATAATTAAATCAATAGAATTGTATACCGAGGACTTGTATGGTTTAGTGTCACATGTTTTTATTAGTGAGACAAAATTTGCTGATTTACAAGACAAGCTTGGTCGGGTTTTATACGTTAGAAAGATTGCTTAATGAATTTATCACGCTAACTCTCATCAAATGAGATCAATATGAAGAATTGGAGTAGAAAATATTCAAGTGAAATATGTTGGTCGCCATTGAATTCATTCTATTGTTCAGTTGCAAAACGTCATCTAGAAAAATTTCTCTATATCAGATGAAAATTTTCTAATAGATTCAATTGAATTTTAATTTTCTTATTAGTGCATGTAATTCGTGTATTACTCTGTCAATCTAACTGTTACAGTTTCTAATTTCATTCATTTCTTATAGAAAAATAGTCTACAATGAGAAACATTAAAAAGAAACTTCACTCATTGATATGATGTTAATCATTGAACAACCATTGTATTGCGCCAACAAATTCTCTTTTCCAAAACCATTCGGAATGTTCTCCATCATTTTTTACAACTGATTTTATATTTTTATCTATCGTATATTTTTTATTATCAATGAATAGTTGAATCATTTTTTCCATATCTGGAATTGTACTGGCACTTTCTTTTCCTCCACAAACAAAATATAATTTGGGATTAATATCAGATAAAGTGCACATGGCGCCGGCATATCGATAAATTTCATCACTGAACCAAAATGATGGCGAAAACACGCCTACACGACCGAATATATGAGAATAACGTGCAGCTGCATAAAAACTTACCAGACCGCCTGATGAACTGCCTAAAATAACTGTATGTTGACGTTCCGATTTTGTTTGAAAATGTGTATCAATGTACGGTTTTAATTTTTGTATAATAAACTCTAAATATTTGTCTGCCTGACCACCTCCATACTGTGAATTAGAAAATGGAGTTAATTCATTCAATCTTTCACTTCCACCATTATCAATACCAACAACAATTACTCCCTTTCCAACTGATGATGTTGTCTGAAAAAGATTATCAAGAGTTTTATCTATTCCCCATTCACCTGAATAAGAGTAAAGTTGATCAAATAAATTTTGTCCATCATGAGCATATGAAAAAGTATACTGATAAAAATTCAAATCTTTGTTAAATTGAAAATTTTGGGTCTTTTAGCGAATATTTTGTTTTTTATTCTAGTACTTTATAAAAGTCAATGAATGTATAATAGATTTACCAAATAAAATGTGCTCTTCTATTGTTCTACAAGATATCCTAGAATTTCGCCAGCTGAAATTTCACCATCGAAATTTCGACAGTCCAAATTCCGACGGATTTTAGCAGTATTGTCGAATATACAGAGCAAAGCTTATTTAAAAATGTACCACCGCAAAATGGATTTTCGACAATTGTCGAAATTACAAGGACTTAAGGCAATAGTCGAAAAACAACCTGGAATTCAACAATGTCGAAAATCAGATTGACTTTCGACAATTTGTCGAAAATATTGAGCAAAAACAACAATGTCGAAATTTCAGCTGTCAATATTCCGTTTTACCTTCTACAAGTATGTTAAAGACTCCAATCAATTTTTAAAATTGGCTTTCAGAATTTCTGAAAATGAAAACAATTCTATTTTTCGTTCTATGTACGTCCGTAAATGTATATCTTTTACAACATGTTTTCTTTTCCTAAAAATATCTGAACTTAAATGGTAAATAGAGAAAATATCATACAATCACACAAGCAGAAAGGTTTATCCTCCCTTCTCGACTAGAAAGAACTACTGGAATGTTCTCGTCGTTTTACTGTTAATGTAGGAAGTATATTGAAAGATGTTTCTGCAACATATGCAAGAAGAAGGTTGTTTTTCTTGTATCATTTATTGTTGCTGATGTTGCTTCACGTCGATGATGACTAGTGATTGTTGCAACAAGAGCTGTTGTAGATGTTGATGTGGACGATTCATCATATTCAAATTGTTGTCTATAATTAACCAAAAATATATCATTGTTAATTTATCAATTGATAAATATCTTAATCATTTACCCCACACGATTATTTGTTCTTTTTGGTGCTAATGGTGGATACCTCAAACTTGGCACCCAAGTGGGTGTCATTATTGTTGGTGGTGTAAATTTATCTATTAGATCTTGATCACTGTCTGCTATACGATCAATTGGTGTAGATGTGATCAATCCACGCCAATTGTTGTACCAACATTTAATAAATTATCAGCTAATTTCACTATCTGTTGCTGAGTTTGTTTTATATTATTGTTAACATTGGTCTATTAGAAAAAATTTCAAAAGATATTAGCAAAAATTTTGATAATGGATTTAATATTCTGTGTAACTACCTGCTTGATAATTTGATTTTCATTTATTTGATCTTTTGGTGATTCGATACATGGTGATGTGCATATATTTGGCTGTATGTCTGGCACAGTACGACTTGGTAGTTTAAGTGCCGATGAACAAAATATACTTGTATCAACTCTCTCGCCTATAGAAACGAAAAATGGTGTTTATGGAATTTTGTTTTTTTGAATAATATATCTAAGGTCTATATATCTAAGGTCTTGATATCAGCTATAATATATACTAGAAAAAGTTCCGTAACAATCGGTCTCTTTTTTTAAGTTCAAACGCATTTGTGAGTAACCAAATGGCTTTTGATTGTATGAGTCATCGTCGTATGGCTACGTACCACTAGGTAAAAATGATGTAAACTAAAAAGCCCACCACCCTAGTGAAGCTTTTTTTCTCAAGCACATGACTTTCTTGAATTTCTTGAGTAAGAATCTCATGGCGTGGAGACATTTCTTACTCATGCAAAACGCATTTTTTCCGATGTCATGCGCTTGACTTT